TTAACTCTCTAAAGGCTGTGCAGATCTTCTCTAAATGTCTAAATATACTTATAGCAAATTTACTTCTTGATATTCAAACAAGAGGACTGAGGGTGTTGTAAGACATCCTCAAATCTCATCTAAATACTTCACAAAAGGATATCCTAGAAAGAATCTGGTTTACCTATGTGGAGTCATGTGCTACATTTTTAAAAGGCTGACATCAACATACTAGCTATACATCCTCCCTTCTTATTTTTTTTTTTTCCCCCAAAGAAAAGCCCAAAACTCCAACGTGTGTAATTAGAAAAACTTATATCCAAAACCAATGACAAATACATGTATTATCACACAAAGTTATGTGTATTATTACAGAACATTATATTATATATATACATATATACATGTCCCCATCTCATATATTATAGCTTTTTAGAACACTGACATATCAAATCCTACACTTATAAAAGAGCCAGATGCTAGTCACTGGAAATTTTACTTTGATATATTATAAAGCTATGCTGTAAGCTAACTGCATGGGCTTTACATGCACATAAAACCTCATAATGATAATCACATAAATAATATCAAATGACAAAACTAGAAAGGAGTTTCTTCATACTTTATTTTACAATTTCTCACTAAATATATTTACAGGACACGGAGTTTGCTTTAGTGCAATACATATTAATGTTGCATAAGTACAAACTGTTGAACTTTTCTAAAAAAAATAAAGAAATAAAGCACTTAACTGATGTTACAGCTAAGTATGTAAAGCAACGTTAATAACTCTGAGTGAAAATGCTAACAGCATCTTTTCTTTTCATAAACAATTTCTAGAAACAAACCACAAACCAGCGTTACATATTCCAAACTAGTAACCCTTGTACAGTACCATATCATTTAAAAAATGATTCTTAAAAGCACATATACTGTACTGTATGGCAGTCTTTTTCTACAGATACTGACTTACTCTTTTAATACAAATATGATATTACCTTGGCAGTTTTGAAGAACAAAGTTATCTCGAGATATCAAACATCAGTAACAAACTCTGGTAAGCACAGCTTCTTGAGAACTTGCTTTAACAGCATTTCTTCACAGTGATATTTATGAAAGGTTGGAAAAAGATTAGCATAAAATATTTCCATCCTTTTTCAGTTTTTATGCAAAAATCATTACTTTATATTGGTAATTATAAAATTACAAACACTTTCTATAAGTAACTGCATCTGTAGTAATGATAGAAAAAGTTATCAGTAAGATACCTAAAATGGAGGCTTGCATAAAATGATAGTTTGAAGAAAACTAGGTACATCTTTTAAAAAATAATAGTAAGGGAGGTAACTTAATTTAGAATAAGCAACACAGTAGTTTAACGGAGACAACTTATTAATCAATTAAAAAAGCTAATTATTTATTAATGTTAAAAAATAAAGGAGTTGTGATGAGGTGAAACCAACATTTAAAAAGATATGATGAAACATTTACTCTTAGTCTTAGTTTTGGCACTTCATTGGAACAATTACTTTTACCAAAGACCAAAATATGTATAAAAGATATACAGCTCCTTGACATACCTTGCAAATATAGTACATTAGTACTGGCAAACACTGAAAATATAGTTAGTTAAACATTCCCACAGATTTGCACATGCATGCACTATTCGGACAACAGCATATCTATGTTCTTGGCGGTGTCAATCTTGCATTACTTGGGTATTTTAGGCCGTTTCTTCAGCAGATCTTGTTTCTGATTTAAGTCTTACAAATTCTTTAGCAACTTCATCATTGGTCCTGTGAGACAGTATTCTAAGAATTGTCAACCCAGTTTCATCTACAGAGATGTTTCTCAACAAGGGGTACCAAGATGCACAGCTACCTTTCTCTGCTATGTTTTGCAGCTGAATAACTGTCATTCCTATAATGCGATCTTCCCTAGCAAAGCAGTAATCTTTCACTGAGAGGTGAAGTTCATAGGCTCCTGGCTTATCTTCATTGCTCAACATGCTGCACGGATTAAAAACATGAATTTAGAACAAGGAGTTCAGTTTAATTCCCCTAAGGAATGAACATACTCTAGAAATCTTGTAAAAATTAAAGTGCTATCGGTATTTTAATTTTTGTAGTTCCATTTTGTTGCAACAGTAATTCAATTTTAAACCTTCTACACAGTTAACTTTTTAGATGCCTACTGATGATGTAGCCTCTGTTTCCACTGACCTGAACAGAAATAGAGAATTCGTCGTAAACAGTTAACTTTCCCTCAAAAGTTCACGCAAAATGGTGAACTATTTTCACGAGTATGATAACCTCATCTTTAAATCAACTGTAAAAAATAAGGAGAACCATTGACAGCACGCCTCAAAAGGAGCGTTGTGGTCAGACACTGAGAAAGTGAACTCTGTCCTTCTTAGGGCTGGGGGGGAGGAGGGAGGAATGAATTGGTCACAGTTATGAAAGGGGAGGAGGAGAAACATGTGAGAGGTGCTGCGGGAGGTACTAAATTTAAAACTCCAGCTTAGGTGATAGTTTCTTATTGCTTTAAGGATGAAATAATAGAGAAAATAATACCAATAACACATGCACAACCCTTTACATATTTAGGTATCTCAACGGGCATGAAGTCCAGATATCTGGCAGTAATAATTAATGCTTCAGTGCAGATAACTACTTAAGTAATTAGATTCCTAGGTGTATAGATAGTTATTCCTGTGTAGGGAAATGAATTGTACATTTTCAGCAGCTTCTGTAAGACTGAAAGCTTACTGGTTTTCATCTTCGTATAAAACTAAGACACAAGTGACTAAATAATTTTGAAGTGGTGTCTATATTTATGGACTCTGATGTGTATAGCTGCCTTAGGACTTTTTTTTAATGTTCTTACCAGTTTAACTGCAAGAAATGCTAACAAAATTTGCATAAATTATGCAATTAACAGACAAAAAAAGACTTACAATTGGAAAGTTTCATTGTATTTTGGTGACCAGGTGTTGCTCTTTGTCTTGGTTCCGTGTTTTCTTTTCTTGTCACTTAGGTTAGGACCTAATATGCAAACTTCCACAAATGGCCGGAACATAGCTGTTGTTTGCCAGTTTAGATTATTAATTGCTACAACTGTAAAAAAAAAATCCAAACACATGAAGTTAAATAAAATTTCTTGCAAAAGCTCCAATTATTTATCCAGTATGACTTTGTATAGCCAGTGAAAGGTAACCTGAGAGCTTTCCTATAGGATACCAATACTTGGAAGGCCTAGGAGGAGCTTTGCCTGTTCTCTGCCAAGAAAGAGGTCTGGCTACTTTCAGTGACAACAGTAGCAAATCTAAACATATATTTTATAAATGCTTTATATTAACAGCTCTTTTGACTGCTACCAACCCTGTTATTAAAAAAAAAAAATCAGTTTATATGAATCTAAGTGACACTGGGTTTCCTCTGGAATTCAGGTTGTGCAGAACAATGGCATTTTTGTCTTGCTGCAGTCCTTTACCACCCAGATTTGCCACAGCTTTTGGAAAATGAAATTACACGCAAACAATTCAGAAGTGTAATTTGGCACATTTGAATTTATAACAGAGAAGCATAGACAGTACTTACCTGCATAATCTTAACTGCTGCTGATGTTGAGCAGGGAAACAGTATGATCCTAATCACCTGAAGCATGCCCATAGCCTTACAAGTACTGTAATACTTATTTCCTTACAGGAATGTTTTCCTTAGGATGTAGTGCTTGGGGGTTCTGGACTTTATTGTTGCTTTCTTCTTAAATTTAGCTGTTTGAAACTTACCTTTTACAGTGACTTTATGCTCACCAGTTCCAGGATGTGTAGAGACATCCACCTGTATAGATATCTCACCCACTGAATTATTAGTGGCTTGACCTGAAATAATAATTATTAGGTTAGGACACTTGGCTTCTTAAATGCATCAAGCAAAATAGACAGTGAAAGAGTGTGAGTGGTACTTTCTGCGGGGAACACTTAGAAATTTCTGACGTATATTTCACATTTAAGTGGGAATCAATTACAGGTTCGTAAGTGATTTTGCCACAAAGGCACCTAGCAATTGCAAATGTCTATGTAAAGTGCCTCAGGAGAACAAAAAACCCTTTCATCTGGAACCTTCCATTCTGGTTGTTGTTAGGTGTGCTTGTATATTGAAATACAAAAGTTGGTGGTTTCGTCAAACTTTGCATGTGCACCCATGGTTAGCAGGGGAAAGATTCTATCTTCTTTCTGTATACAGAAGTTCCTTACCTCACTCATTCCCCATCCAGCTATACGTGAGGAGGTGCAGGAAATTAAGGAAAGGGTACAGGGAAGAGGGGTGTCTTGTGTAATCGTACTAGGGAAAATGTTTTTGGTTTTGTCCCGTCCCCACAAATTAGTTTATACCCACAATGTACTTTTTCTTTTACCATGCGTAGTTTTTTCTGAATTTCACCATCAGTGGCTTCCTAGAAATGTGTTCTACACTGATGTTTATTCATTGTGTTGGCATAATCTGTAATTACATTCTCTACACTGGTTGAACATTGCAAGGTCAATTATATAATCTTACCCCAAGCATTACTGCTCAAGAGAGTAAGTTTTTTTCCTGATACATTAAAATGTGGAAATTCAGTGCGCAATTAACTTGCTCGGAATCCTTGAAAACTGTTCTGCATTTTCCAGCTTTCAGGTGAGTTTGGCATGGAATTGTCATCAATCCACTTTTGTACTTCAGTCAGCAGTGTTTTAGCAAAAATAGAGAGTGTCAATATCTAAATCTGGTTATAGTGGCTCCTTCTGAGTCACAGGGTACCTGTACACATGTTGCTGCTGGATGTATTTCAGTGTCAGCCACAGCGTTTGAACCAATACTGATGCATAAATAGGCAATTTGTTAGACATTGTTTTTTTTAATGACAAGAAGTTTAGTTTCAGTGGCAGCCATTAAACTTTTTGTTGTATTTGGATAATTAAATTATCCAAATTAAAGCTGCACTATATGAGATCTCTAATTAATTTGCTGAATCACTTTACATCTTGTTCACAATAAATAATACGTAATTTTTTTAAGAACATGGCTAAAAAGATAGAATCAAGTGGACTAGAAAAGCTAAATAAAAATCAGTAGAATAGCCTTATTTAGAAGACTAAAACAATGTATTATCTAACTGTACAGTGAAATGAGATTTTATTTAGGAAGAGAATGGAAATTCTGATTTGGTCAAGGTCAGAAAGTTAAAAGTGAATTTCTTCTTTCTTACAAAAACAGTATCTTCAGACCATGTATCGGTGAGTGGCATAATATTGACAGTGAGTTTCTGCTGCTTGAAGTAAAATCTATGAATTTAAAAATAAATAATTGTTTGGAGTACCAAGTGCTATGTAAAATTATCCTCTCCAGAAAATAAAAGGTTTTAAGCCCTCATTTTCATTATACAAAATGTGGTGTTTTTAATGGAGTTACACTTAACCCATTATGCTAACTTTTGCAAAAGTACCTTTCCTTATATTTATATGGATTACTTAACTTGAATTAAATGAAGACACTTGTGGGGTTTTTTTTTTTGTTTTTTTTTTTTTTTGTTTGTTTGTTTGTTTGTTTGCTTTTTAACAGCTAAAATTGAGAAGGCAGCTTATCGGGATAGTCCTCCAATCCTATATGTAATATATACTTATTGAGTATTCTCATTGGCTTTCTGATGTTGTAAAATAAATCAAAAAGAGTAGAGACTGGAGCTTATCGAGCATTAATCCATCTTGTTCTTTCACATTGTGAAATTCCGCCTTTCTGAGCTGTTACATACTGCACAGAATTCAGTCTTAACAGGTTTTTTTTGTGGTGGTGGGCCTTTTTATGAATGATGCTTTTGATTCCTCATAGGAGCTCTCTTCAGCTATGAAGTTGAACATACTGTAACCCAATAATTTGATGGTGTAAAAAAAGTCAGTTAGAAATACATAGTGCTGAACCCCAAGAGAAAAATCTGTCCCTGCGCTCAGCCATGTAAACCTTCTCTTTCATCAGCTCTGTGCCTGTGGGAGACTTTGAAAATGGTTATATAATCCTAGGTTAACATGTCACTTCATACTATGGAACATCAACTATCTTATATTCTATTGTATGATAGCAATTCTTTCTTTTGAAAATGCTTTACGCTCTTTTGGTATTCATCCTATCTTACTGCTGGTAGTTTCATGTAAAATCCTTAAATCTGGAAGAGGCTTTATTTGCAGATCTGTTTCTCACAACATAAAGAATAAAAGACAGGAGCAAATTGTGTATCAGAGAGTGAAGTTAAGGTCATGCTTGCAAAATGAGGATTCTTTTCATGCTGTGAAGTCATCTAGTAGCAAAAGATAAGAATAATGCAATGTTTTTATTGGTCTTCATCTAAGGACATATTCTTGTTTCATCCAATAACAATTATAACTTTCAATAACAACATATTGTCATATTGTAAAAGTAAGACTCACTTTTTTGCAAAATATTTATTAAGACAATATGCAGATGTTCTTTTGCCTGCCTTGTCTCTATGAGCCTTTCCTCGCATTTGCATTTGCAAAGTTCATAGGACTTGTTTGGAAAACAGTATTTTATTCAAAAAAAAAAAAAAAAAAGGAAGAAAAAGAATAGTTGGACTTTGTCACCCAAACCAGCAGCTGGGTGTCCAAAACCTGTTGTGGCTCTAGATTGTCTTTTTCACTGAGGTTCCAGAGATCTCAGAAATGTACTATATTCCCCGCTTAATGTGAGAAATTACGTGTCTCTGAGGAGAGAGTTGATTCAATTTCTGGAAGCTGGAATCTATTAAGTAGCCTACACAGTGTCCAAAAGAGATCAGTGTCTGTTCTCAGGTGTTTGAAAATGGAGCTCTTGCTTGTATTTGAAAGGCTTTTATAGGATCTGCAGTTATTACAATGTAATAATCTATTATTTGCTATGAAAGGAAAGCATTGAACACAAGAATTTATTGAATATATAAAATATATTGTCAGATGTAATTTACTTGAATTTACTGTATTTTTTTTTTCTTCACACAATTATATTCTACCTTTCCATACCTTCATGGTTGCTTAGATTTATTGAAGGGCTGAAATGACCCCTAGGTTGAGAAGGTAAACATGAATTAAGTATTTTACTTTATGCAAAGGGAGTGCTTCATTAAGCAGAAAGGAATCTGACATTTACCAAAGACCAATATAATAATAATTAAAAAGATAAGATGAGACTAGACAAAATTTGTTCTGTTTTGTTCATCTTGGAATTTAGTAATTTTCTCATTCCTCAGCTTCATATTGCCATTTTGGTATTTGTCTTCCAGTTGGCATGGCTCTATAAGAAACTTTAGATTATTCACATTGTTCCTTTCTGCCCTACTTGAGCTAATTTCCCCAACTTCCGTACTAAGTAAAAGTGACTCTTCTTACTGAGTTTTTTCAGCCTTTCCCTTTACTTTATACTTATCTGATCACGTCTCCCCCTGTGGGTCTGCACTGTATCCTTCTAATGTCTAGGGTTCTTATATTTTTATAGTTCTAGGGCTAGATGTTTCTTTAAAGACTGTCTTCTTCCTGGTCTTCTGTAGCTTATGATTTTCTCCTCCTCTCATCTAGGCACTCATAAAGTTTTTGCAAGTGGTGACTTTTGCAATATTTTTGCCCTAAAGTAGTCAAAGATAGTAAGCTAGGCTCTGAAACAATCTTAATAGCTGTATTAAAAGTTCCTAAATCTATGGTGGTTTACCTCTTCTTTTTTCACTCTGGCTTTTAGGATTCAGTATTTCAAGTCTTTCTTTACCTCTCTGAGGATTAGAAATCTAGTTTAAAAGAAGAACGACTATGTGCAAACTAATCATCATGCATGATGTGGTCTTAGTACCTGAGACTTAGAAAAGCTCACTAAGCACTGAGAGCCAGGCAATAAAACCAGCTGAACTGGCAACGTTCCCCTGTGGTAACCGTACCCCATCCCATTCCATTTGCTAGTGAGCTTTTTCAGCATAAATCTGACCATTTATTTAAATTTATTTAAATACCGGACCTACGCTTTGATCTTATTTTCTATGTAGGCAATAAGAATGAAAAAGTTGAACAAATATTCAGGCTTTCACAGTGCCCAATGTTTCAGGAATTACACAAGCTACAAAATCAACATTTTAATTCGGACAAACATTTGTCATCTTCTGATTAACGATGCCAATAAAATACATATATTTGTCTGGGGTTCATCTGCAAATTTATTAGAAGACAAAAGATCTGGGTGACTAATCAAGTTATTTTTCACAGGATTCTAAGGCTCTATAATTTACAGGAAAATCTTGAGTGCATGTTCTAACATTTTCATTTAATACAAAGAGTAAGGTAAAGCTGAATGTAGACAGCTAAATGATCTTTTCTGGTTTTGTGCTAGAGAAAAGGAAGGCAACTTTCTTTTAATAATGATAACCATGCTAACTACAACAAGTGCTTTGCTTTAAGTAGTTGCTATACAAATGGTTGATAATTGTTTTATCTGAGAACCAAGTTCAGTTACTTAACATCTGACTTTCAGTAAACATTCTTTCACCAGGCTGCCATAATGGGATTTAGAAGGTTTGTATTTTATTAGAAAATAGATATTAACAGAAGGTTCTGCAGCATCTGTAAGCCTCTCAATTGTGCAGAGCCACGCTGTCAAAACGCATTCTCTCCTATTTGAATTTCTGCAAGGTCAGACAGAGTGATATGATGAATTCAGAGAGCATGGTATAAAAGTAGAATATTATGGTGAGAGTAGAAAGTACTGGTTTGAGTGTCAGGGTGGAATCCACAGCTAAGGCTTTCCCCTGCATCTCTGGCTTGTATAGGCCATGCTTTAGATGACGAGGGCTGGCAATTGCACAGCCCCATTG